AATTCGTTCCCAAATATGTGAGACGCAATGTCTCATTTTTTTCTCCCACCGTGCACATTGCAAGTTTTAAGTGTGAAAGCTTATAAGCCTTTTTATGAAAGCAAGTGGTCAACTTGGGTATAGACCCGTGAAACATTGTTAATGCGGTCCAGACCTTGATCAGTGCATATCCGCAGAGTAGGGTACGAGATAGAAATGGTGACCGTTATGCTGGGAGTGTCGGCAACCAAATGGGAGCCGTCGACAATGGCGAATTTCAAGTGCAAAACGACCCCGAAGCTTTGTGTCCCTGTCAATAAGGGATAATTTTCCCCTCAATGGAGGAGGGTGCATGAAAAAGAGGGTGACATTGAAAAAGAGAGAGGAGGGAGAAGAGGGAGTGGAGGAGGATAGGAGAGGAGTAGGGAAACGAAGAAAGGGAAGGAGAAAACAAGGGAGAGAAGGTGGTGATGGGAAGCATTGTAAGGGAGGGAAGGATCCTATGTGAAGGACCAGTGGAGTGGAGTAGTGATTGGGCTGCAACAATTGCAATAAGAGCGTCATGTTTAGGAGATGGGAACACATGATGGGCAAGAATTACAGAGATTAGAGTAGAGGAGAGGAGAGCAGCGGGAAAGTAGACCAAGGGAGTAGAGCAGGGGAGAGAAAAGCAGGGTTGAGCAGAGCAAGGTCATCGTTCCATCACAGGACTCGCTTAGGGTTTCTGGAGTGCGAAGAGTCACTCTACAATGGGGGTAGAATTGTGTGAGGCTATAGGTTGTACTGGATGGTCGTAGCGTTGCATATGCTCGCACGACTTGTTGTGCTCATATGTGAAATTAACAAGAGTTAACTATTGAGAATTGAATCAACAATCATACAATGAAAGGCAAAGTCTATATACCTAGGAAGGCATGCAACACACCTAGCAACACTCTGCAAGGCGACTTGCCAACTAGCAGGAAGGCTGCTAGCTAGCGCTGCAGCAAGGCGACTTGGCTGTGCTGCACCAAGGCGGCTCGCCAGCATTGCAGTTATAGGTGAACATGTGTGCACATGTGCGACACCTACCAAAGTAGGTGCAGGTCTGCACAACAGACGGTTGCGTGCACGTCTTGCACGTGATGCACATTGCGCAGGTGCCAGATTGTAGAGCACGTGATGCCTTTTCCACGGGTTAACTTTTGCCAAGACCGCATGGGGCAAAGATTGCGCACATGCATGATTTTGCCGACCAGCTACTTTGGTCGACCAGAAACACGCCGCTGACAGCAGCATCGGTCGTCGCCCCGTCGACGATCGGTTTCTTCGACCAGCAAGACTTAATGCCGCACCAGCTTCATTTTGTCGGCCTGCGCCTCGTCGGATTTCACTGTCGTTGCCTCGAATGTCCCGCCGACGTCGACGAGTGAATATCATCGACCAGGCACTTCGTTGCACTTCGATAAAATTTCCTCGAAGTCAGCATCGACTACGAAACTCAACCGGCTACACACATTTGCGCACCGGATAGTGAGGTCAACTTTTCCCAAGCAAGGGCGGGGCCTTTCTCGTCAACATAGAGTGCCTCCATCCCCAGGAACGGCTCCATCTCGCACCCCTTTTTGCAACCTATCTAATTAGGTGGGGTGGCACTGGGAAAGGCACGCATGCGTGCAACAACATCAATATAAGGAGGGGCTATAGGGCAAGAAGGGCACACAGCAGCAGTAGTAGCATCAAGCAGAGCAGCGCAAGCAGAACCAATCAACAGAGGTATATCATCAGATAATCGGAAACCATATAGGCATGTGGAGCGAGATGAGCCGCGTAGTAGTTTAGCGTCAGCAGGGCACACCCCACCACGCATGCACACGGCTAGGAAGATCATGGAGCGAGATGCATATCATGTGGAACACGTAAAATCTAACGTGCAATGCATGTCCGAAGGGCACACGCCTCGTACCCCTGTGTTGCAACAACTTTTGAGGTGCCTCAAGAGTCGTGCTGTGTGTGTCTGAAGGGCACACGCTTCACAGCTCTGCGTTGCAGCAACAGATGGAGATAGAGAGAATGCGGCAAGCAGTGGCTTCCCTCATAAGCCGAGGGATGTGCTGGCTAGGGAGAGGGGGGTTGTGGTGCAGGGCCCAAAATTGGTTTAGGCCCACCCTGACAAATCAGGGTTCCAGGCCCTCCTTACCCTGACCCGTAGGGTAAATGTTTTCGTACCCTGATGGGAGCAGGCTAAATTTTTTTATACACTGATTTGACCAGGGTACTGCTGCACTTAGCCTGTTTAGGGTTGCAAGTTTGTCAACTAAGTAATTTCACATGTTTTGTTCAACTAGCTCAACAAACGCAACAACTACTCAGTGCCACCCACACTGCCTACTAATTCTTTCTGTACAAACTGGGTCGCGCTAGCCCTGCTGCCATCAAACTCCTTGGTGGATCGTCTGAGCTTCTCTCCACGGAAAATGGCGACCACCTCGTACCATTCAACATCGTACCGCAGCAGGGAGCAACGCATCAGGTGCTCTAGGCTTGTGTCGCCAATGCTGCCGCGTCCCCATGTCTTGATCAGGTTCTGCTTCGAGAAGCCCCGCTCGCATTCAACCGTGCTCAATGGCAGCATGATGTTGGGGAAGGAAACATGCCAGGCATCGTCGCGCAGCATGTTCCCCAGCGCCTGATGAAACTCCTCATTGTTGTGCTGGGAGAACATCGTGGAGGTAAACATCCACAGTTCCTGTCCGGCCCTCTTGTAGTCGAACCCTGTTATGGGGCGGGGTCGGGGTTAGAAACTTGGGCGACGCTCGCAGATACGGGTAGGAGTGGGGGGCATTAGTCCAACGAGCAGCGGTGAGGTCCACGTGCACGGGTAAACAACGAGGCACAGTTGCAAGTGACAACAAAACTAATACAAGTGCAAGGTGCAAGCAAGGCTTACCAGGCAGCTTGTGGTTGTAAAGCTTGTGCAGCAGGCCCATCCACTTTTTGAATGTCTCCATTCTGGAGATGGTTCACGAGGCGGCTGCGAGATAGGAACGCTGTACTTTTCTCTAAGGCGTGGTAAAACTCCCAGCACGGAGAGGCCGTTTCTCGTGCTACCAGGTGGATCGGGCTCCCCAGCAGGCATGTTTGACAAGTCCGTGGAAAATGGGCGAGAATGGAGAACAAGCGAGGGACCCCCTGGACGAGCTCGAACCTCACATGGCCTCGTAAGGTCCGATTCCCTCTCACCGCGGGAAGTGCAAGGCTGGTACAGCAGCATAAGGACTGCAATTTGATGCATAGGACAGCACGAAACTGTCATTGACGCGCAACTTTGCTCAGTTGGCAGTGGGCGTGGCGTGGTGTGGCTCGATTCAGGGGTGCGTTGGCTGTACTGTGGGTCACACAACCAATAGGACGACTTGGCGTGCAGCCGACAACATTTGACGGTTTTCCGCATGTGGTCACAAGCGACAACGGTGGCAGTGGGAGCGTGGTTTTGTCAGCACGCGAAGTATGGGCTGATCCGCGCTAAAAAGGTTTCGGTATCATGGTAATGTACACCCAACCCTGATACCGTCAGGCTAACCAAAAACGCTATCAGTGTAAAACAAAACATACTCTTTTTGCGTCAGGGTAAAAATTCCGGAAGCCTGATTTTGAAAGGGTAACTCTGAAAAAGCGGTCGCCCATCAGGGCAATCAGGGTATTTTACCCTGATATTTTGGGCCCTGTTGTGGTGCGAAGGGGGTGTGGAGAGATCCGAAGGGGTGGTGGGAAGGGGAGGGAGGAGTGTGTGTGGAAGAGAGAGGGTAGGAGGAAGAGGATGAGGCAGAGCTCTCTCTCACCATGGCTCTCCACCTACTCTCTCCCCTCGCCTCACCTCGTCTTCCTCTCCCAGTGTTGCTAACCCATCGTCTTCTCTCGCTAGTCCTGACTCCTCTCACACACACACCCCTCCATGTGCCAACAGTACGCATGTGACTGCGTCTGTCACTGGCTCTCTCCTCTATGTGATGCAGGGCAAGGCAGAATCATAGGCAGGCGCAGCAGAGGCAGCAGAGGCGATAGGGACAGCAAGTGCAGCAAGGGCAAGGACGGGAGTGCAGGAGCGTATTTGCCTCTTCTCCCCCCTTATCCCGTATGTCCTGGAGAGGGTTCTTAACGAAATCGGCATGCACATCATATGAGAACATGGATGTGCAAGTTTTGTAAATAAGGTGGAGTGTTTGGGTTGTTTGTAACGCTGGTGTAATGTTTTGTACCTGCTGCATTTCGACTGCTGTAAGTCAGATTATAGAGAGGGTAGTCTGGGTCCCAACCTGTGACGCTCTCCTTGGCACACCTGAAAAAGGCGGGAAAACCTATCGGAAACAATTTTCATTCGTTACCGCGCCACGCCTTCGCTAAGAATCTCGTAACAATTTTCTTCGCTAAGGCATCAGACCAGGTTTGTCCAGTTGCGACGATTTGCTTATCTCTCGCCAAACCTCGCCAACCCTCTCCAGCATTCACCTCACAATGTGTAGTGTGGTTCCCATGGGACCTCTTTAGTACATCTCTACAGACAAACGAGTGATTCACCAGACCAGACCAGACCAGACTTAGGGTGATTCACCTGCCTCGTTGACCAGACTAGGAAACTGCAATCCTTGTAACGGCACTTGTTCAGTAAGTGGACTACTACTCCTCTCTAGGGACCTGGGACCAACTCGTCCACGTGACTCGTCGAAAGCAAAACTTGTATATAGTCGCTTCCCAGTACCCATCTCGCTCCGTTTGTTTGTCAATCTTGTGTGATTGACTCCATTGCTCGGTTCGATTGGACACGATTGCCTCTCGCTCAGCTCGTCAGCCTCAGAATGCTTGCTTGGACGCATTACTAGCCTTCCACTCATCATTCTTTCGTATGCAACGCGTCTGCCCGGCGGAAACTCTTAACTCGACCATCCCACGCTTGAAGATCCGCGTGATCGTTTTCCCTCCTCCCCCCTCTTCCTTCTATTCTGCGATAAAGGCGGCTCCGTCTCCCCGCATCCGCGCTTAGAATGGCATCGCGAAAAGCCGCGGAACTGAATCACCCAGCGTCAGACTCCTTAGCCTTCGCTCTCGATTCCAACGGTCAAACCTCTCTCGAGTCGGCTGCTGCTCCTCCCTACTATAGCCCCGCTGGATCCGAGGGTTTCCCAGCAAGCCTCCTGTCGCCCGGATTCGGCGGCTCGAACGACGACGACGAGGAGTCGCTCCTGAATCGACTCGGCTTCTCCGCGTCGCCTCCTTCCCCTCCATACCCCGGCACCGCTGCTTACGCCGCTGCGGATGCCGCTGGTGGTGCTGATGCGGATGGTTTAGGAAGGGTAACGGGGGCAGCGGAGGGCGGGGTAGGAGGAGGGAGGGAAAGAGGAGCGGCGGGGCCAGGAGCGGGGAACCGCGAAGGCTATGCAGGGGGAGGGGCGGGCTTAGGAGGCGGGGGAACGTCGGCGGAAGCGTCGGGGGGAGCTTCAGTGCTGGGGGACGCGGGGGCGTGGGCGGGCGTAGGCGGCGTCGGCGGCGGAGGGGCGTCGTTCGCGGGGCTGCAGCGCGCGGGCATGCTGTCGCGCGAGCAGCTCATGGCGTTCTTCCGCGCATTCACCGCGCTGCTCGACTCCAAAGGTATCCGCCACGCTCCCTCCCCACCCACCCTTTCCCCTTCACCCCTCCCCCCGCTTCACCCCATCTCCCCCCACCTTACCCTTCCTCTCTTGTTGTTCTTCCGCGCATTCACCGCGCTGCTCGACTCCAAAGGTACCTCACCCTCCCCCTTACTTCATCCTTCCTCCTCTTTCCTTCCCTTTCCCCCATCCCCCTTCCCTCGTTCTTTCCCCTCCCTCGTCTTATCACACCCTACCCCCCCTCCCTCTCTTTTCCCCCCCTTCCCTCTTCCCCCTCCCGTCACCGCGTTGCTCGTTCTCCAACTCCTCCTCCCTCCCGCTCTCCTCTTGAACAGCCCCCTCCGCCCCATCTCCTCTCTCCCCAACCCTTTCTCTCTTTCCCTTGCCTGATGCCGGCCCTCCATTGCATGGCATGGCATGGCATGGCATGGCATGGCATGGCATGGCATGGCATGGCATGGCATGGCATGGCATGACCCCCCATGGCATGGCAGAGGCACGGGCACAGATCAAGAGCAGCGTGCAGGAGGGCAAGGTGAGGCATGTCATATGGCGCACTTGCTGCCACACACACACTCTCGCACTCATGTGCTTACATACACTCCCTCACACGCACACACTCACACACACACACACACACACACACACACACACACACACACACACATGAGTCCCTCCCACTCCCACCCCTCTCCCTCTCCCCACCGCTCCTTTCTTCCCCTCCCTCTTCCCCCACCCTCCGCATGCCCATCTGCTGTGCTTCCATCTCGTCCCCCCGTCACCCTCCTCTTGAGAAGTCTTTTGAGACGTCTCAAAAGTCATCTCTAATATCGACTTCCTTCCATCCCCTGATCTCCTTCCTTTCACTTCCCCATTCCCCTCGTCTCCCCTCTATCTCCCGTCTCCCCTCCCTCGCTTCCCCTCTCCCTCTCTCCCCCTCTCCCTCTCTCCCCCTCTCCCTCTCTCCCTCTCTCCCTCTCTCCCCCTCTCCCATCTCCCCTTCTCCCATCTCCCTCTCCCCCGCACTACAGTCCGCATCCTCGGTGACTCGTCTGTTGAAGGAGCAGGTTCTGCTCGACATGGGGATAGGTGCGCGCACACACACTCACAGGCGCACGCACAGGGATGGGGCACGGGCATGGGCGTGGACATGGCATGGACATGGCATGGACATGGCATGGACATGGCATGGACATGGCATGGCATGGCATGGCATGGGCGCACAGACAGGCGTGGAGCATTTTCTTCCATGGGCATGGGCAAGGGCATGGGCATGGGTGTTAACCTTGAGCCGTCATAGGTTTTTTCTCTTCTGTGCTATCGAACCCTTGTGTATTTTGCCAGTTGCTCTCGTCCATTGGTGCCCCTAGCTTCCTTCCCCTACTTGCCTGCAGCCCCCATCTCATCCCCAGTTCATGTGCCCGCATCCCCATGTCACACGGAGTTACAAGTAGTTTTGAGACGCCCTAGAGATGGGCATTTGGCGCACAGAGATAAGCATCGCACGCGTGGCAACCCCTTACCACCAACCCGCGTCGATTCATTGCTCCCCCCCTTGCGCTTCTCGCCCTTCCCTCGTGTGTGCAGAGCCGCAGTTCGGCATGACATGTCTGCGGGCCGTCCCTCTAGACTACAGAGAGGACAGAGACATGGTGCTGCGCATCTGCCACATGCACGCCAGGTGGGGAGGAGAGGAGTGAAAGGGGGGAGTGGTGGGGTGCTTCTGTGCTAATAAACAAGTATTTGGGCCAGAGGAGGATGGGATGGAGGGGAGGGAGGTGAGGGAGGGGATGGGAGGGGAGGGAGGGGAGGGAGGGGAGGGAGGGGAGGGAGGGGAGGGAAGGGAGGGAGGGGAGGGAGGAGATGGGAGGGGAGGGGAGGGAGGGGAGGGAGGGGAGGGAGGGGAGGGAAGGGAGGGAGGGGAGGGAGGGGATGGGAGGGGAGGGGAGGGAGGGGAGGGACACTAGAGCTTGTCCTGTGGGGATTGCTCACGTTTCTTGATGTTGCAGTAAAACCTGATAGCTTCTTTGATGCCTTGCTGCCCGGCAGGCTGCCTTATATGAATGGTGGGAGGGATTGTCTGCAGAATGCTAAGCTGTGTTGATACGTCTCAAAACTCATCAGTCTGGCTCATATGGATGGGGTAGGGAATGTTTGCAATATGCTAAGCTGTTAGATACATCCCTCCTCCTCCTCCTCCTCCTCCTCCTCCTCCTCCTCCTCCTCCTCCTCCTCCTCCTCCTCCTCCTCCTCCTCCCCCTCCTCCTCCCCCTCCCTCTCCCTCGCCATGTGGCGTGACCAGGGAGGAGGCAGCATGTGACGAGGCGGAGTTGACACCACTGGCCCTGGCACAGAAGAAGATGCAGATGCAGCTCATGCAGCAACATGTGAGTGCACCGCCACAAGCAGCATCGTCATGCCCATGCTTGTGCCCATGCCCCTGCCCATGCTTGTGCCCATGCCCATGCCCATGCTTGTGCCCATGCCCCTGCCCATGCTTGTGCCCATGCCCCTGCCCGTGCTTGTGCCCATGCCCCTGCCCATGCTTGTGCCCATGCCCCTGCCCATGCTTGTGCCCATGCCCCTGCCCATGCTTGTGCCCATGCCCATGCCCATGCTTGTGCCCATGCCCATGCCCATGCTTGTGCCCATGCCCCTGCCCATGCTTGTGCCCATGCCCCTGCTCATGCTTGTGCCCATGCCCCTGCCCATGCTTGTGCCCATGCCCCTGCCCATGCTTGTGCCCATGCCCCTGCCCATGCTTGTGCCCATGCCCCTGCCCATGCTTGTGCCCATGACCCTGCCCATGCTTGTGCCCATGCCCCTGCCCATGCTTGTGCCCATGCCCCTGCCCATGCTTGTGCCCATGCCCCTGCCCATGCCCCTGCCCATGCTCATGTTTGTGCTCGTGCCCATGCCCGTGCTCTCCTCCTCCCTTTTGGTCTCATTCGAGTAACTTCACCTCGGTTTCCAATTCCCCCCTTCCCTTTCCCCCCCCTCACCTGCACACATACAGAGAAGCTTCTCTTCCCCAATCTCTAAACCACTGATCCTTGCAACAAACCCCCATTTTCCCCTGTTCCCCACAACCACCCAGCAACTGACGGTGCTGCAGCATGTGCGCACGCTGCCAGTGGACGAGCAGAGGGCGTTCCTGCAGTCCGTGCAGGGCAGTGTGCAGCACGCACAGGAGCAGCGTGCGCAGGGGAAGGAGAAACCGCTGGTTCAGAGAGACGTGTGGGAGACGCTGCTGCAGCAGTGGCAGAGGCAGTTCAACCAGACGTGCTGATTGGCCGGTTTGGTTCGGTGTTGGAAGGTTGGAGAGGAATGAGGACAGGCATAGTCTTCCCGTAAAAGAGTGTGTGTGTGTCGCTTGGCTTTCAAGTGCTGGTAATAGCAGTGGCCTTTTCCGTGTTTCTACTCCTGGGGTTAGGATAAAGTGGAAAGCTAGGAGGGTGTAGCAGGAATGAGCTTTAACTAATGACTGAAACTTTTTATATATTCTGGAGAAATAATAATTGGCCAACTTTTCGTGTGGGCGAGCTAGCGCAAGTTGATGGACGTCTCGAAATACGGCGTTGTTCGAGTTACCCTGCATCAAACTCGCGATGACGATTCCATAACGTTCACGAAATGAATGTTACAGGTCGCATGCATTGGGGGTTGTGGGTTTAGGCTGATCCACTTGAAATTCGAACTGAAATTCGAATCTGTCATTTTCAATTCAATTGTCCCGCCTCATTGCCAACTCGCAGGAAGGCGAGTTGAATTTGATGAGAGTGAGAGAAATGGAGAGAGAAAGGGCGCGAGGTGAATCGGAGTGAAGCAGAGTGAGGTGGAGATCGCGTGTAGCCGTCTTTAGAATTTCACCTCCGGCAATATATTACTTCGCAAGCGTCATGGAGGCATCTCTGCTCGCGACTGGGACCCGCTCGCCGCGTTTCGCGTCGCGCGCTCGTGTCGGAACTGCAGGCGCAACCACTGCCGCTGCTGCTGCCAGCTGGCATGGCACCGCGGCACGGTGCGGGGTCGCGGGGCGCGTTGGCGTAGGATGGCATCACAGTAACGGTCGTGATAGTAGCGGGGATAATGGTTACGGCCATAGTGGCAACAATCACAGTCGGTATCCGCAACTCCGCATCACGAGCGCGAGAGGGCATGTCGGGCGCGCGCGGAGGAGTGCGCGCACGACCCTGACAGGCCAAGCTTGCGCTTGGGGCGCTTGGTCCTTCCCCCTCCGCCTCCCCTTCCGCCCTCCTCTGCTCCGTTCTCCCTCCGATTCAGCCTCCTTCTCTCCCCCCTCGCCACTTTTGCAGCCCCAACCACGAACCTATTCCCGTCGCCTTCCTCCGTCCCGCACCCGCGCCGGCTCTCCCCCTTCGTCCGATCCCCCTTCGTCCGATCCCCCTTCGTCCGATCCCCCTTCGTCCGATCCCCCTTCGTCCGATCCCCCTTCGTCCGATCCCGCTCCGGATTCTCCCCAAAATCCTCCGTCCTCTGACCGCCCCATTGCCTCCTCCTCTTCAGAACCCGTATCTTCCTTTCCGCGCAACCCTCAACCTCCTCCTACTGATCCTCCCCCCATGTCCCCCCCGCCGCCCCCCGTATCCCGCTCTCCGTGCTCTCTCCTCCTCCCCGTCTCGCTCGCCGCATGGTTGCTCCTCCTCGCCATCTCCGCCTGGCTTCTCCCCCTCCTCCCCCTCTTTTTCCCCCGCGCCTCTCCCCCACCTCCGCCACTCCTCCCCCCTGCGCCCTCCGTCCACTCCCTCGCCTCACTCCCTTCCCTCCCTTCACTCCCCGCGCTCCCCTCCGTCCCCCTTGCGCCAGTTCCCCCTCCCGCCTCCTCCGTCCCCGGCGCCCCCCTCCGCGCCCCCTTCCCGCGCTTCCCGCACCTCGTGGGCCTGGTAGACGACACGGAGCCGCTCTTCGCGGAGGCGGCGCGGCAGATGGCGCTCACGGGGGACTGGGTCACGCCGCAGTTCAACGCACACCCGCGCTTCGACAAGCCGCCCCTCTCGTACTGGCTCATGGGCGCCGCGCTGAGGAGTCTGGGCGGCGGCGCGTTGCTGGGCGCAGCAGGCGGAGCGGCAGGAGCGGGAGTGGCAGGAGCGGGAGTGGCAGGAGCGGAAGCAGCAGCGGAGGCGGCGGCAGCAGGGGTAGCGGCGTTGCGTGTGCCTTCGGCTCTGTGCCTCTCCTTCACGCTCGCTCTCCTCTCCCTCACCGCCCTCCGCTTCGGCCTCGGCCAACCCCACACTACTCCCCAGCCCCACGCCCATCCCCATCCCCATACCCAGCCCCAGCAGCCCCAGCAGCAGCAACAGGAGCAAGTATCACCCCCTCAAACCCCATCCCCTCCCCAGCCCCTGCACTGGGCAGCAGCCATCACCATCGCGCCCATATTCGCGCTCTCCCTCGGCCCCTTCCTCTGGGGCTCTGTAGCAGTCTCAGACGCGCCTTTCCTCGCCACCACCGCCACTGCCGTCCTCGCCTTCTTCTGGGCCTATGCCTCTCATGACCCTCATGACGAGAGGCATATGCATACGCATAGGCAACACAATCCCCCATCTCACCAGCCTTCTCACCGCCGCTCCTCCCACGACGACACCTCCCACCGCGCCTTCCCCCGCTCCTCCCCTCACTCCGCATCCCACTCTCCCCCCCGCTCCTTCCCCAGCTCTGCCCTCTACCTCCTCTCTGCGCTCTCCCTCGCAGCAGCCTGCCTCACCAAGGGTCCCTTGGGCGTCCTCCTCCCCTGCCTCATCCTCTCCCTCTTCCTCACCCTCTCCGGAACCTTCTCCCTCCGCTCCCCCCTCGCCTTCCTCTCCTCCCTGCGCTCTTTCCTCTTCTTCCAACTCCCCTTCTTCCCATGCCTTCTCCTCTTTCTCCTCACCGCCCTTCCGTGGTTTGTCGCTATGGGAAAGAGGCACGGGAGCATGTATCTGAGCACGTTCTTTGGGTACCACCATTGGGAGAGATTCGCTAAGGGAGTGAACCACCACGGGAACAGGCCAGTTCTGTACCCGTTTTTAGCCTGCCTGCTGCTGTATTTCCCGTGGTCCCTGCTCTTCCCCCCTGCCTTCCTACGCACAGCCACTGCTGCTGCTCGAGCAGTCTTGGATAGGCACGGGTGGAGGAGAGAGGCAGAACAAGAGAAAGAGAATGGAATCAGGGAGACAACGGTCGTTGGGGGTATTTCGAGGCGTGGGGAAGCAGGGGAGGAGGCAAGGGAGGGTACAGGACAGGGCTCAAGACAGGAGAGAAGGCAGGGGAGGATACAGGAGAGGGGGAATGATCTGGTGCTACTGGGTTTGGCGTGGGTGGTGTCTGGTTTCGGCTTGCTTGCTCTCTCTCGCTCCCAGCTCCCCTCCTACTACCTTCCCATCGCACCAGGTGTCGCAATCGTATTGGCCGCGGGACTCCTGAGACCAAACCTGCCGCAGAGCGACTCTCATGATTCACAAACCGTCTCACACACCTGGAAACCGTCCCATTCTCCTACCAACCTGGAACCCACACATCCCTCCAGATTACCTACACTCTCTCTCCATCCCTCGCCTCCTCCTCTTCCCCCTGCAGGCACCCCCCTCTCTGCCTTTCTCTCGGCATCTGTCTTCTCGCTTCTCTCTCTCGCCTTTGCACTACTGCAGCAGTCCATTATCGGAGACCCCAAGGCAGTGGCTATAGTTGCAGTGATTGTAAGGGATCAGCTACACTGGCGCGCTTCTGTGCTCTTTGCTGCTGCCGCTGCTGCCTGCGCTGCTGTTTCAGCTCTTGCTGTTGCTACCGTCGAAGCCTCCTACCTTCCGCCCTCCCCATCCTCCTCAACCCCTTCCTCCCTTTCCTCTCCCTCCTCCTCTCCGTCCTCCCCCTCCTCTCTCCGTTCCACCTCCCACAACTTACCCCTCTTGCTCTGCCTCTCCCCTGTCTCCCCTCTCCTGCCTATCCACTCAGCGCTGGTCCTCCTGCTGCTGCCGCTCTTCCTCCGCCCCTCGCTCCTCATAGCAGACTCGGTGCTGCAGCGCCCCTCCAGGGACCTTGCTCTCACTGCGGCCTCCCTGCCGGCCCCTGTGCAGTCACACTTGGGAAGGGCAGGCTCGGGTAGAGCAGGGAATTCGAGAGCAGCAGCAGCGGCGGCAGAAGCAGCGGCAGCATCAGCACTTCCAGCACCAGCAGCAGCAGCACCATCACCATCACCAGCAACACCAGCAGCAGCGGGGGAGGCGATGGTGATGGTGGGTGCGCGCATGCCCAGCGTGGTGTTCCATTCCCAACGACCCGTGGCCTTTGTGGAGTCACAGCAGCAGGCACGCAGCGTGCTTGAGGGGCTTGCTGCGAGGGTGAGAGCGCAGCGAGAGAGGACCGGGGAGGTGAGCGAGGTAAGGAATGGGAAGAGGAGTGGGGAGGGGAGTGGGGAGGGGAGTGGGGAGGGGAGTGGGGAGGGGAGTGGGGAGGGGAGTGGGGAGGGAAGAGGGGAGGGCAAGAGAGCGGAGGGGAGTGGGGGGAGCAGGGGAGTGGAAGGGGGAGGGGTGGAGTCGGTATTGGTGCTGGCAGAAGAGACACACGTGGGGGCTTTGCTCTCCTTACCATCCTACCAAGGCACTGTCATTGCACGGCAACCAGGCTACGCCTTGCTTCGCCTCCGCATTCTCTCCCACTCTCACTCTCACTCACACTCTCACTCTCACTCTCACTCTCACTCTCACCCTCGTAGTGACCTTTGAGTCGACTCAACTTACGACTTAGGAGAGGGCATGAGGGTGGGGTAAAGGCGATGCGCTCCCTACCATCTCTTCCAAGCCACCAGTCCAGTCGTTGTTAGAGTAGGGTGATGTTGACTATCGAGGAGTTTGGTACAAAGGTAAAACCTAAGGGGTTGTACCCCACAGTGAGTGCCCCACTAAAGCCTACCTAAACTATAATATATAAACATATGTTTGACACACCCCCATAGGCAAAGTGGGGGAGAGCAAGGGGTCACAAGACCAGTCAAGAAAGGCAAAGCAAGCTCAGTGTGGATCACAACGTCACCACACTCACTGAGCACAAGCAAAGGGCCACAAGGCCAGTTCACATGCAGAGGCATATATGGAACACAAACATCACAGTGATCTCTACCTAGCAAAGCAAGCATGCAGGTATATATATATAGATCACAGTACAAGCAAGGCCTACAGCAAGTGAGGAAAAGTGGGCACAAGCCCTAGCATAGTGCAGAAACGCTGATGATCACCAGCCTGAAGTGCCTTGGTGAATATATCAGCAGTGTTGGCCCGAGTGGCCACGTAACGCAGACGAAGCTGACCACGCTGCTGCAACTCTCGAGCCAGAAAGTAACGCAGAGCGATGTGCTTTGTTCTGTGCTCCAGTCTGTGCTCCTCACACAAGGCAATGGTAGCCTTGTTGTCGACGTACAGCACTGGAGGAGAACGAGGCCGCTCTCCCAAGTCAGTCAGCAGGTAGGTGAGCCAGCGTAGCTCCTGTGCAGCCATGGCTGTGGCGTAGATCTCAGCCTCACAACTGGAGCTGAGAACTGAAGACGAGCGTGTAGAACGCCACGAAACTGAACCAGAGCCAAGGCTGAAGGTGTAACCCTGTGACGACCGCTGTGTAGCCTGGTCGTCAACCCAAGAAGCGTCTGAGTGCCCAGTGAGAACAACTGAGCTCCTCCCTCCAAGCACGAGCCCCATGCCTGATGTACTGCACAAGTAGCGCAGTACCCTCTTAGCAGCATCCATGTGCACCTTTCAATGCCGACCAGGAGCCACGTAGCGAGCCAGAAGGCCAAGAGGGTACGCAAGGTCAGGACGAGTGCAGGTCATCAGGTACATGAGGCAGCCAACTAGCTCTGGGTAAGGACCACTCGGCTCTACGGACTCGTCCGAAGGTGGAGCTGAGAGCGAGTGACCTGTAGCCAGAGGAGTGGCCTGTGCCGAGGACCAGGTGAAGCCGAAGCGCTGAAGGACCTGCTGCACCATGTGTGACTGAGTCAGTGTGATGGTGCGGCGTGCTCTGTCCCGGGTGATCCGCAAGCCAAGATAGCTTGTCAGCTCACCCAGGTCTGTGCACGTGTGTCTCTTCTGCAGCTCCGACTTCACGTGGGCGAGAGCCTCAGTGTCAGCAGTGGCAAAGACCAAGTCGTCGACGTACACGAGGATGTAGAACGGCGGCAGCGAAGTGTCGGTGCGTAGAAACAGCGACGGGTCAGCAGTCGACGGAGCAAACCCAAGAGCCGCAAGTGTCGTCCTCAGTGTGTCGTGCCACTCACGTGGCGCCTGGCGGAGACCGTAGACCGGCCGCCTGAAGCTCAGCAACTAAGGCAGACGTAGTAGCAGACTCAAACGACGGGTCAGTGACAACAGTGGCTAGCAGACGCGTAACAGTAGGGTGCTCAGCACGAAACCGGTCAGACTCGGGGTCCGCAACGACAGACAGAGAAGACGCAGGAGGGGACGGCAGAGGAACACGCTGTGGAGGAGAGGAAAGACGACGGACTACGAGGTGGGTGTCGGGGACAGCCGGCAGACGCGGACGAGGAACACGACGACCGGAACGACCAGAACAGACAGGCGAGACAGGACGCGACGCAGGCTCACGACGCTCAGTAAGACTCCTTAGCTGCTCAGTGTAAGGAGAAGGAGCAGGCAGCAGTGAACCAGGCTGCAACGGAAGACCAGTAGAGGAAGGGAGACTAAGAACCTGGCGAAGCACAGAGTCAGGCGGTGGCTGAGACGACGGAGATGGTGGAGCGAAGAACAGGCGCGGCTGTGCAGTGACACCAGCACCAGCAGCTCCAGTACCCCCAGCAGCTCCAGAAACTCCAGTAGCGACAGAACCTCCAGCGCCAGCTCCTCCAGGACCAGCTCCACCAACAGCAGCACCCCCAGAACCAGCACCTCCAGGCCCAGGGTCTCCAGCCGCAGTGCCTCCAGCAGCAGCACCCTCAGACTCAGCACCTCCAGCCCCAGCAGCTCCAGTACCTCCAGTACGAGCACCTCCGGGACCAGCACCACTCCCAGCTCCAGTGGCGACAGCAGAGGTACCTCCAGCGGCAGAGCCCCGAGCTCCAGAAGCGCGACCCTGACGGCGACCGTACGAGTCGTGCAGCTGCTGCGAGGTGAGAGGCACACGCGGACGAAGGTGGCTACTCCAAGGAAGCCGCGCAACAGCAGACTCAGAACCCTCAGCGCCAGAACCCGCAGCAGCTCCAGAACCTCCAGCGCCAGCACCCTCAGCAGCTCCAGAACCTCCAGCTCCAGCGCCACCAGCGCCAGTACCTCCAGCAGCTCCAGAAACTCCAGCGCCAGCACCCTCAGCAGCTCCAGAACCTCCAGCTCCAGCGCCCTCAGCAGCTCCAGAACCTCCAGCAGAAACAACTCCAGTGGCAGAGTCACCAGCTCCAGCGCCTCCCGCAGCAGGGCCCCTAGCTCCAGCAGCGCGACCCTGACGGCCAGCGTACCACTCACGCAGCTGCTGTGGGGAGAGAGGGAGTCGACGACGAGAGTGCAGCGGCGAGGCACCAGCGGAGCGACTACGGAGACGGCCGCTCCCGGGAGACTGCTCACCAGACGCCTCAGTGCCCCCAGGCTCAGCACCCCCAGACTCCTCACACCCAGGCTCAGCACCTACAGTCTCCGCACCCCCAGGCTCCACACCCCCAAGCTCAGCACCCCCAGGCTCAGCACCCCCAGGCTCAGCACCCCCAGCAGCAGCACCACCCTCAGCAGGACCTGAGTCACCAGTGACCTCAACCTGAGGAGGAGGGTCTACCTGAGACACACCTGAAGGAGCAGGACCGGGAGCGGGGAGGGGGTCTACCTGGGGAGCACCAGGAGCGAGGAAGAGCGGCGGGGGGGGGAGAGGGGCAGTGCGGTAGGGGAAGAGACGGTAAAAGGGAACCGACTCGTCGAACGTGACGTCCTGAGAGGGGAAGACACGGCGCGAGGTGGGGTGGTAAAACTGCCAACCAGGCGCGTCAGGGACGAAGCCAAGGAAGACACAGGGAACAGCGGGCGGAGAGCTTGTCCGCAGTGGTATCGCGGACAAAGGCACGAGCACCTCAGACCCGAAAACGCGACGCGTCGCCAACCTTCCCCGTCCACAGCAGTGTGGGCGAGGTCTCCGGCAAGGAGACACGGGGCCAGAGGTTGAGCTGATGCTCGGCATACCGGACCGCAAACGGCCACAGAAAATGGGGGGCAGCCGCATGGATCATGGAGGTACGAGCGACCTCCATGACTAAGCCAATGCGGCGCTCAGCAACCCCATTCTGCTGCGGAGAGGCCGGAAGCGTGAACGACTGGCGGATGCCGTGCTTCGCACAGTAGGCTGCCAAGAGGTCTGAGGAGAACTCACCACCTCTGTCAGAGTGCAGACGTAGGACAGGAAAGTCCGACTGGAACCGCTCGCGGAGCTGGAGACGAGTAGCGCGGATCCAGGGGATCAAAACATCAGGGACCTCCCCCTTGCTGCGCAAGGGGAAGACCGTGGTGTAACGCGTGTAGTCGTCGACGACCAGCAGGAAGTACCGCTCGCGGCCCTGTCCACGGACGCGGGCTGGGCCCCACACGTCCAGGTGGAGAGTCTGCAAGGGAGCCTCTGTGGGAGGGAACAAGGAGGAGTGAGGAGCGGCGCGCTGCCGCCCCTCGACACAGGGAAGACAGGGAGGAGCAGGCGAGGGTGGGAGGGGAGGGAGAACCCTGGGAAGACCAGAGACAAGGACACGGCGGTGCATGCTGCGAAGGCGCTGCACCGAGGGGTGACCAAGGCGGTGGTGCCAAAGGAGGGTCTGGTGCGACAAGGCACGACACGAGCAGGGGGCCGACAACTAACCTGACGCAGACGCAGATGCAGCTACCTGAGGGGACTCAGTGGTCAGTGTGTACAGGCCCGACCCCGGCTGCCGAGTGAAGGTAGCCAGGTGACGACCAGTCTGAGCACACGTGCAGTGGGTCACACGCTCGTAGGCAGGGGTGAACTGGTGAACACCCGCGTCCTGGAGCGCGGAACCCGCCACCAAGTTCGTAGAGAACGAGGGGAGGTAAAGACCCGACAGTGTGCCGGACGAAGAGATTAAGATTATGCGATGTAATGACGTGTTGGAGTAGGCTAGTTTCATTTCTTGTTCGTTTTAGGTTCACTTTGCAGTTTGTACTTGCATTGAACATACCCTAGGTTCAGTTGGGGTTTCGCAACTCCATGCTTGAAATGTCTCTCGACTTTTTTCCTAGTTCAACTATTTCGTTCTCTCCTAAGTCACCTATCGGCCGCCATGGCTCTTCTAAGACTCACTTTAACATGGTATCTAGAGCGATGTCCTAGGCGTCTCCTTATTCTTCACATCTCTTAGCAATCTTTAGGCTATCAGCCATTTCCACGCCATCTACTAGCTAGGCGATTTTCTTTTCTAAGTTCTAGCATTCGCATTTTACTCCTCATCACCCCACGGATCTACCCTTAAAAGTCGCGCCCAGCTCGTAGAGTCCCCCCACGATCGCGCTGCTTTGCACGTGCCCTGCTGTCTCGCGCTCCCGTTACCTCGCGCGCTACCTTGCGCGCTGCCCCGAGCTCCCCTGCTGCCTCGCACGTTGCGTGCGCTTCTGCCCAGTGCGTCGAGCCCGCCTCTGCCCCGCGCGCCGCGCGATCCCCCTGCCTAGTACGACGCGCGCTGCGTCGTTTGCAGCTCGCCGTGCTGCACCTGCACGCTGCCCTGACGCGCTGCTCG